TGCAACTGCTACATGCATAATGCTATACCCACACAGTAAACATTTGTTGTGTAATTTTAAGTAAAACGCAAAAAAAAAAAAAAAAAAACCTGTTAAGTCCTTACCACTATAGTGAAAACTATATATTTTGACATTTTATGTAATTTTATAGTAAGATACTGGTAAATTTACAGATTTTGGAAGTAAACAACAGATTAACAATCAGTCATCTTACAATTTATAGTAAAAAAAAAAAAAATTTGAATTTAAAATTTGATGGTATTTTGTTTGTTTGTTTCTTGTTAGAATTTGTTCAGTACTTTAGGGTTTTATGTAGCATCTTATGTTCATGTTTATTGGATTATTAGTGTTAGGTGTGTTACATAATGGTTTTGTATTTGTGTGTATAACACCTTTTTTATATTAGTATTTACCTGAGCTTGTGGAAAGGCTATTTTTGATGAACTCTACTTCAGCATGGGCCTTTGAATGCTAAGGACCGAGATACAGCGTGACATGAAAGGTTGATTTTCCTCTTTTGTCATATGTTTGTTACCGAGCTACAGGGCACTATCCTGGCTTTAATGTCCCAGATTTGCAGCACTGCTCTGACCCACAGACACAGCTACCACCAGATCAACATGGCCACAATCTGCAGAATGGACACTAGCCAGTGACTCCCACTGGGCACTAAGTAGTGGCCAATAATATTGCATCTGAGCCAGGCAGAGAACAAAATACCATCCACACTGGCCAGCAAAAGATTTAACAGGCACATATAAAACAGAGATAGAAAACAGAAGAAGAAACTAAGCCAGAAAATAAATATTTCAACTAGACAGTGAAATAGGGATAGGGATCTAAGCATTCTGACCTCAAATAAGACATTCATATTTAGTATTAGAGAACCTAAACGGTGTCTATAGCATTGGCACACCAAACTGTCTTCTGTTCTTTTTGGAGCATGTAAATGAACAGCATACATGTCGGTAACAACATAAGGATGAGCAAATGATGATGACAACAATATTTAGTGAATTACCTATCTCTTTAAACACTGTAAATGAAGACTGTTTCTTCATTGAGAGACACTTCAGGCACTTGGAAACACTCTCTGATTTACAGTTGGTGGGGCTAGAGGTCATGGATCTCAAGGGGTGTACTTCACCTGCTCTTAACCTTTGAGGTCAGACATCACAAATACACATAATGCTAATTGAAAAGAGCAGTCAATAATTGTTCATCGATCTACACAATGCTTGAGCTGTTTTAGTCCCTGGTTGCATGTAAAAAATATAAGGACAAATAAGGGGAATAAAAATGGAATAAAAAAATGTGTTAAAGTTTGTTGCGTCAGCCCTTGACATTCATTAAGAGCAGGTCACTTAAAGGAATAGTTCACCCAAAAATGAAAACCAGGGCTTGACATTAACTTTTTGAGGCACTTGTCCTTTGGACAAGTAAATTTATGTTTCACTTGTCCATGCACAAAAGTCACTTGTCCGGGTAAAGATTTATAATTTTATCTAGGGCTGCACGTTTTGGGGAAAATGTCATATTGCGATTATTGAGGTCAATATTGCGATTGCGATATAATAAACAAATGGTTTCATGAGTCAACTTGTTTGGTTCTAAAGCAAATGCACACACATATTAGTGATAATTCTGAAATTAGCAATAACAACTAAATGATTGATAACACCTATAATGATCAATAGCCTAAGCCATTGATGTCTGGATAAAAATTAACTGTCTAACAGGTATACGGCATATACAGAAATTGAATAAAGTTATCAAACAGTCTGTGCTGCATAAATTATAAATTATATATAGACTAATCCTTATTAAAGCTACACAAGTTCTTTAGTCAAGAGCAGTGAGTAATTTTCTCTGTTCCCTTTGTTCTTTGATGAACTGTACTACTGACAGAACACTTTATTGGTAGCTGGCCCTTTAAGACCATCCGCTTCTGACAGAGACGCGGATCTCACACGCGCCTCATTCTCTCACGAGTCACAACTCTTTATGTCCATCATAAGACTGCTCTTATGTTATGAAGATACTCGACAAACGACATTTTGGCATAATTGTGTGTGTTATTGTTTGTTCAAGCGCGAAAGAGAACTGTATTCTGGCGCGCGGTCTGTGCATGCGCATCATACTGGCACGCGTCTTTCTGTGAGTCACATTCAGGACATTCACAGGCAGCGCGAAAAATGTGTTTGTTTCAAATCGGTAAAATTAAATCTGTAAAATAGACGTAATGAGTGGCACATAACATGAAGTAACATGGCATTTTATTTTGTTTGAAATTTAACTTGTCCAGTGGGACAACTAATTTTCTCTTCCACTTGTCCTACAAAAAATCCACTTGTCCCGGACAAGCGGACAAGCCTTAATGTCGAGCCCTGAAAACTATCCCATAATTAACTCACCCCTAAGCCATCCTAGGTTTATATGACTTTCTTCTTTTTTTCTCCTAAATTATGGGGTAATTTTCACTTTTGGTTGAACTATACCTTTAAGGTACAATGGCAAAATGAACTACGGTATGTAGCCTATAATTGAACCAACTAAAATTACACAAAAAAGAGATACAACACAAATGTGCATTTGGTAGAGATTATTCTCTTTGGAAAGTGATTCATTCATAACTGATTCAGGATAATGTTTATACGAGACTACATGAGACAGTGTTCTCTCCCACAAGGTGCTTTCCAATTCAACTTCCCAAAAAAACATTATTAACTGCTGACTGTCAGAGTTGCAAAATAAATAAGCTTATGACACAAAAAATAAAATAAGGCAAAAATAAAAATAAATAAATAATAATATGAGCAGTGGAAAAAAGACCTACACACACACACACACACACACACACACACACACACACACACACACAGAGAGAACTAGAGAGAGAGAGAGAGAGTGTTTGTGGTAACCTTGACAATCTGACAGTTCCAAAGAATAAAGGTTTATGCAGACACACAACCTCACAATGAAAGTCATGTTAAGCAAAGACTCATCAGTTACTTTAGACAGCATTGTAAAAAAAAAAGCTATGCAGGAATGCTCACAAACTTATGGAGAATTCCACTTTTCTATCAACACATTTTCAGTCCATTTAATCCATGTATATTTGGCCCATGCAGGGTGACAGGGCAATCTTGCAGCAAAAGATTCTGGGTTACGTCAGCTTTAACCGAAGGCTGTGTCAAATTCCATGGCACGCTGTGCCACCAAACGCCTCTTGAACCCACATCTCTAATCCCCGCTGCCATCCAAATATAAATAAATAAAACTACGGTGGTTTTCAATAACCTTTACATTCCTCACCCCATCAACCACTGACAAGCCAACACATAAACGCTTATCTCCTCAGAACAACGGTGCGCATTAGAATGATTGCATGGGTGCGGGAGGAGAGCTGGCCGCAGTGGGCGCTCTGGCAGACTCTCGACAGACACACGGAAGAGGAAAAACAGTGGGATCAGGCCGAGTCAGATTAACGGAAGCGAGAGCCGCGTCGTAGCCCCCACTTCCTGACAAGTCGAGACGGTTCACCTTGAGAAAGACACCAGCTGAATCATGTTCTCCGGCTGTTTTCCCTCTCTCTGCTGTTTCTATTTCTCTCTCTCTGTTGGAATATTCGGCGTGTTGCTGTAACAGCATGGTGTGCTTTTCAGTTTTCCCGGCAGCCATCCAAATTAAAACAATTATAGAGCTAATTGCCCGTTAGGTGAAGCCTGCCGGGGCGTCCATGCTCTGATTTGTAGAATCACTCATGCGGGTCGTCCTCCACTGTGATGGAGCCGCCTGGTCTTGCTGGTGCGGGAGCCAGTGCCGGCCGGCCAGTCGATCGACGGGCAGATGGGCAGGGGTTGGCACAGGTGCCCACCGTGATGCAAATTAGGCCTGGCACTGGTGCAGCGTGAAGACAGGGGAGATTGAGCGCTGTGACGCAGAGACGGCGTGCCATATGGAGCTGGAGATGACTACTCTGTTTACCAGCGGTCAAAGTCAGCTACACACACGCAAGCGGGTCGAGACACTTTCAACCGCGAGCATGAGCCAGCAGAGCGTCCCAACAGCAACTCGAGCCAACATTCCGCCACACGACACAAGACCGCCCAGCGACCCAACGCCACAGCTTAGCGGTGTCAAATTAACATCTATACTGACCTTTACATGTGTGGAAGAATCTTTTAATCAAACCACCCTCAAGCTTAAAAGAATACTTCATATGAAAATAAAAATCATATGCAATTATTTACTCACCTTTATGTTCGCTCCAAACCTGTATGACTTTATTAATTCTGCAGAACACAAAAGTATGTTTAAGAATTGTGCTGGTCTCTCTTTTGAGTTTTTAAGCTTCAAAAAAGACCGCAAAATTTTAAAAGTCATTATTTACAGGACACATGTCCTAGCTCTCCTTAGAAGTCATAAGTGAAGCAGCGACATCAGATTCTAAAATGAACAGCTCTTTTGAATCGGATCTCTTCAATGAATCAGTGAATTCAATGAATTGTTCGTTCTCCAAAGTGGCTCACTTGATTCTCGAGTTCAACTCGCTAACGCAATCCATTCGCAACAAGTAACAGGCTCACTGGGAAGATAATCAGTGAATAACAACTTAACATTTTGGACTATTTGCCACAAGAAAAAATTATTAATGAAGACTTGAAATAAAGAACAAATGGGCCATCTTCATGATATTTTTATGGTGCTTTTCTGTGTTTTTGAAACTTGAAAGCTTCAGTCCGCATTCATTGTACTTGAATGGAAAAAAAAGTGACCAAAAATATATTTCAAAGCATCTCCTTTTGTGTTCCACGGAAGAAAGAAAGTCATACTTGTTTAAAAAAAAAACAAAAAAAAAAAAAAAAACATATGGGTGAGTAAATGATGACAGTATTTTCATTTTTGGGGAAACTCTTAAGAGAGGCACAAAACAACAAAGACAGAAGAGGAGAGGGACAGACGAAAGGATATACAAACACAAAGAACTAGGGTCTTACCTCAGCAACCCGAATCCTTTCTTCTTGGTCTTCTTATCCAACTCATCACCAACCTCCTCTGGTTTCTTCTTCTCTTTCTCCTTTCCTTTGCTTTTCAACTTGTCTTTCTTTTTGCTTTTGGCTTTCTTCTTTTTGTCTTTCTTGTTCTCCTCATTGTCTCCGGCACCTTGTCTCGAAGAGCCACTGACCGGAGTGTCTCGTCCAGAGCTCTGGTCGGACCCCTCATCTGTTTCAATACAACAAGCAAACGTAAAATATGAACATATAGTTCCCTACAATTGGGCAGCATAACCAAAATATTCATATTTATTGCACATTTATTCTTGTGTTTATTTAACAAACTGCACAAATATTTCAACGGCAATTTCGGTATAAACGGCATAGCAAAATCTCAACTGGCTGACATATTTCTATATTCACTCAGTATTTACCTTCAAATGGCCTAGTCCTAGTGTCTCAGTATCCTAGCCTATATCTCAGTTGGAGTCGAGGAAATATAAAAGATCTCTTCATATATATTTTTCCAGCTAATCTGCCCTGGAGCATCATAAATTATCATAATCTGGAGAAAAAAGAAAGAAGGGATGCAGATAACTGGATAGAAAGAGGCGGAGGAAGAGGAAGAGAAAGATTAGCATTGGAAAAAGTAAAAAAAAAAAAAAAGAGGCTTGGGTAACTGAGGAACCTGCTGACATAACCATCTGTTACTGGCTATCCACTGTGGGGCACTGTATGTGTGTGTGGCGATCAATTGTGGCTGCATTATGTGTCTGCGCTCTGAGGTTTGTCAGATGGTGGCGGTGGCGCTGGGAGCAGATGTACGTTTACCAGGCCGCCTCAGAGAGTGTGATAAAAGAGAGATGAGGAGACGTGCGAAAAAGCATCAGTCTTTCATAAGCCTCACAGCGGCCATCTTACTAACCCTCCACTTGTAGCTCAGGGGAGGGACCAGATAGCCCTGTACGCTGTGATTTATTGATGGCTAGTTGTATCTTATACAGGCCAACATATGACAAGGGAAAATACAATTAGACCGTGAAGGGACAAGTGAGATCAGGGCTGGAAACCAAAAGATTGCTGGTAATATGTTTTTCAATGGCCGATATTGAGGCGTAGAGAGCAGGGTGACCAATATTTACACTTACAATCGCAAATTATACATAGAATTGCGAAAAATAACTGAAACATGAGACAATATTTCTCAAAAGCTTTTGACAAAGCTGGTGGCAAAACTGATACGAGGCAGAAATACCAAATCTTTCAATAGGCCAAGCTGATTTATTCACCAATTGAGATTCAATTAGCAGTTCTTTGGTTCTTGGACATGCATTCTTCCATTGATACGGACAGTGTAGTCCGATATCTGAATGTATGACTGTTATGAGCCAGACTTGTTAGTGAATCCAAACACACAACACAACCATTTTAGCCCAAATTGTGAACAAATTACTCTAATGCCGGGTTCAGACTACACAATGTTTTTGTCTGTTACGACACTGTATCAGATTATGCGATTTTTACAACTAAATTCCTGTCAGGTCATGGACAAGAAACATGTCAGACTACACGTTACTTCCCGACCAATCATCACTTGCCATCTTTAACGACGTGCGTGATGTCATAGAGAAGGTGGAACTAGCGACTGACTTCCAGAAACATGAGTGTAAACACTACCAAAGCGATGTGTTAGCTTAATGCTAATTCCAGTTGCTGAAGCGCCTCCGCTACTGTTCACCAGCATTTATCTTTTTTCACTCTGTCATGGTAAACCTTGAGGAAACATTATAAACTTAGGATTGTTGCCATAACTCCATGAACCTTTCCTCCATTGCATAATTTCACCTAGCAGCACCAACACCATCATCTCGTTTCGCCATGTTTGAAAGCTGTGTACGGAAGAGCTTCTGTGCTTATATTGGTCAACTCCCCAGATGTGACGAAATTTTAAAAAATGAAACATGCTAGTTTTTCTGTCGTGACACAGTGAAGCATTAGAGACGCGGCGTTGGCTGTTGTTCACTATGACACACTATACAAGATGAAACAATCGATTCTTGCATTCCATTGTCGTTTACGAATCACCACAACACCCTACATCAAACCGATCGTGCCAAAATCGGGTTGAGTGTGTAGTCTGAAACAGGCATTAGGAGCAGTTCACATGAAAACTTATTAAATATTAAAATCAAAAGCATTATTGTTTTTTAAATAAAATAATGAAATATGTTACGAGTACGACCATTTTTTTGTTATAGTATTATTTAATATGGTGGTTCTCAACCAGGAGGCCTCAGCAAACTTCCAGGGGGGCGCAATAAGTCTTAAAATTATTTTAATTGAATTATATAAAAACAATGAAAATGTTAACACAAACACTAAAAATAAAGATTAAAATGACATCATATTTGGGGTTTATTTATTTCTACTACAACAGAACCAGAGATTTGAATATTGTTTTGGACAAATGGGGAGCCTTGGAGTGATTTAATAAATATTTAAAGTAACTTTTACGTTAAGTAAGTTACCCCTGTAACTTTTTACGTGGAGAAGGAAAACAGGAAAGTCATGAAAAATACACTTCTCTTTCTTGGTGATAAAGAATATATTGCATTCAATATGATTCTGAACCAGTTCAATTTTGAAAGACAGAGATAAACAAAATTCAAAAAAGCATGCAAAACTCTCTGAGCCTCGCCTACACAAACGAGTTCGAGGACAAGTCGGTTCTTCCGAGCCTTAGTCCAAGGCCAACAGCAGCATCCGTTTCCCCATGGCCTGATTTCTACACAAACAAACACCGATTCGCTGTTTAAACCAGCATTGAAGCGGGCGGCTCGGTAATGACTGTACAGCCGCTCTATTATTCGGAGACACAGAGGAACCTCAAAGGCCTGCTCCAGCTCCCACTTCTCTAATATGCATCAGAAAACTCTTTTGTTCGGACCAGTGCAAAGGCTTATTGTAAATATCAATCCGCGGAATACAATGCTAAACGCCGGGGGGAAAAATTGGTGAGAAAGGATAAAGAAAAAAGGGGAGATATTTCCCATCATGCTCACGTCTCAATATGAAAACACTTAAAAAGAGCAGGGCTTGAGGACTTAAGAGAGCAGTACCTATGCTCTGAAAGCCTTACATAATAAAGCTATAATGACACTGCAGTGAGCTCAAAGTGAAATAATAGAAACCATTTCAAACGGAAATAAATCCCTTCCTTAAATGCCTCTCTGTTTATCATCTTCACTGATGTATGGCCTTTGATATTTATATGGTTTCTTCTCCATGTGAGAAGGCCTCTTAGTAGACTGCATCGCCTTGATTTTTTTCCTTGGGCTGGTGGTGTAGTGGTTAAGGCTCAAGGCTCGCAACTGGAAGTTTCAGGTTCAAACAATGCATATATAAAAGATCTCATCATTTGCCATTGAATAGCATTTCTTTTTTTTCAAATATTTCTTCCTGAAAAGTATTAAAATAATCATTGTATGGAGCGTTCAGGAACTGGAATTGTTAAGAGAAATTGGAACCAGAATTGTTAAATTCCTAAAGATTTCCTTCCTTAACGACTGTGTGCCTGATAATAAATATTTCACAAAGATATAAAGCAAAATCAGAATGTTTAGATCTGCCAGTGAATATCTGGTTTAATATCTACTTGAACAAATTCTAAATCCCATAAACCTTGCAAACCTTGGTGATTAGTTCTTCCTTAAAAGCATTCTTTATTCCAGCCCAAAACCTTGTAAGTATGACTGTTTCTTGGTAGACTAATCAAAACCTGCAGCCAGACTCCTGAAGTTGTGTAGCAGCCAATCAGAATGGAACTGACATTTTTCAGTCGATTCTGGCTACTTTATATGCAATATACATTGTAACATATCATGGGCTGTCGATTGATGTGCTGTCTGAGGCTGAGAATATCACCATTGTGCCCTTGAGCTGGGCACTTAACCCTAGGTTGCTCCAGGGGGATTTGTCCCTGTAATAAGTTGATGGTTCATGTCATTCAATGGCGACACTATGTGAATGTCACATAAACAAACTCCACCACAAACAAAAATTCTAATCTAAGCTGTTTAAACCAGATCCAACATTATCATACAAGGGCAGAAGGACAATCGATTCAGCATGGATTAGTATTCAGAAAACTTAAAAGGATGGAAATATTTATTAGAAACTATAGAAGTGTGACATACCTTGAGCACATTTTTAAAGTAGACATTGTAATAATGTCAAATTAAAAGTATATTTTAAATCCTGTTTTAATATTTAGTCATGCTTTATTGAAGTAACATACTAAAGCACATGTTAAGTACTTGATTATAATATTACGTTTTTAGTCATTATATATCTTAAATGTACTAAATTGTTTAAATATTGCAAATGTTTAATTAGATATATGTTTAAATACATGACATACGTGTTTCAATAGAAATTACATTATAGTATACTTTAGATTACAACAAATTATGTCAGTACATTCAACAGTACACTTTAACCACATTTCAAAGACATTAAAAGTAATTATGAAATAATATATAAAGATGTTCTTAAAGGAGCATTGCGGAAGTTCTGAAATTTCTTACCGTTACTGACACCAGTGGCCGTTAGAGAAACTGCAGCCAGTCTCATGCTCGTTCTCGGTGCGCACGCTCGTTGGCCACACTAGATAAGGCTTTTTTTTTTTTTTTTTTTTACTTACGAGGAGTTTCCGTGGGTATCTGGATTGTGCTGGAGGCTGGTCGCTTCTTTCCGTCCGCAGAGTCCATTTGAAACACTACTGCTAGCGATTGCCGCTGCTTACTAATGGCTGCCGTACGGATGTAAGCCCAAGTAGACGAGAACGCGCATGACGTCACATTTTGTGAATTTTCACGCCAATTCGGACCCGACTCCTCCACACACAATTGAGTCAACAGGCTGATAGAGGCAACCGTGGTGGACAGTCAAGGTGTCATTCTTTCTATTACAATATGGTTGGCTCATAAATGTACAAATGAAGACTCTATCTTAAAGATTTTTTTTTAAGTAAAAACCTACACATAGCCCCTTTAAGTACCATTTAAGTGGGTCAAAACACTAAAAGGCCAGCTAACTGAATTTAATATAAACTAAGACATTTTAATTTAATATCAATTAACATGCAATTAAGTGTCTGAAAACATTACAGGTAACACTTGAGTATATTCTTTAGTATACTTTTTCATACTAAGTACACATTTTAAAAGTATGCTACTTCTTTTCCACAAGGGTATGTATGAATAGATTGATAAACATATGAATGTAAATAATCACACACGCATTCAAACACGCACACACACACGTTTTAAGGTCCTTGCACACAGATTGCAAAATTTTCGTATGTGTTTTTTCGTATTCGTGATTCGGTGGCTATGAATCGTCAAAAAAAGGCTCCACTCTAGGTCCCCTTTTGTTTTCGATCTTTATCAATGATTTATCTCGCACTTGCTCCTTGTGTAAAATTCATCTCTATGCTGATGATACCGTGATTTATACTGCTGACTCTGATATTCACCTGATCCAGAATAGGTTACAAGATGACTTTAGTAAGATTCAAGAATGGCTTCACAGGAACAACCTATTGTTGAATATGGACAAGTCATGTTGTATGTTGTTTGGGACGAGGCATAGAAGTCCTTGTGCTCTCAACTTAAAACTGTATTTTGCTGATGGGTCTTCTATGGTGAAATCTGACATATTTAAGTATCTTGGGTTGTGGATTGATTCCGAACTTACCTTCAAACCTCACATTGACCATATCACAAAGAGAGTATATGGTTGTCTCAGTACACTTTATAAATCTGTTAATTGCTTTACATTTGAAGTTAGGAAAAGGTTAATTTCCCAGTTGATATTGCCCATTGTTGACTATGCTGATATTGTCTACATGAAAACTAGTGAAGGTACTCTTAGGCCTCTCAATGTTGTATTTAACTCTCTATGTAGATTTGTTTTGAGGTGTCCTTTTAAAACACATCATTGTGTAATGTATGCATCCTTGAATTGGCTTCAGCTGAAATCAAGAAGAGACTTTCATTGGTTTCTTTTTATTTTCAAATGTGCCTATTTTGAATGCCCTCCTTATTTGAGTGAACTCTTGGTTCCTCGCAGTTCTTTGTATCCTGTTCGTGATAGGCAATCTCTTGTTTTTACTGTACCAAGAATCTTTTCAGCTACTGGTAGAAAATCCTTTCACTATAAAGCTACTCATGATTGGAACAATCTTCCTCTTTTTTTGAGGTCCATCTTATCTTTTCGTAGATTTAAGTTAACTCTATTCCAATATCTAAACACTGTATGTGTATGCTACTGATGTTGGTCTGTGTTGCTTGCAACTGTCTATTGTTTAATGGATTTGTCTAACTGATTTATATCCTGTTGATTCAACCTCAGTATTTCTTTTGTGGCACCTTTTTGTTTACTGAATTTCCTGTATTATGATTCTAATTGTATAATGAGTAAATGTGGTGTGCTTTTTGTGACATTTATGTTAGAGCTAAGGTGTGTCTTAGGTTAACGGTAATGGTGTGAGAGGCAGTTCAATTATTATTATTTTTTTTTTTTTGGTTTTGTTGTTTTATGTTTTATGTATTGGACCCTCTTGAAAATGAGATGTTGCATCTCAAGGGGCTATCCATCAATAAATTGAATTGAAAAACACCATTCAAACGGCTTGCTACGAATGCGAAAAACGCAGAAAATCGAACCCCTTTCGATTTTTTTTATGACGGACGGAAGTTTCGGAGGCATTGTGCAAGCGTGATTGACATAACTTGAGCTCGTATTTATTTTTTAACGTGCGAAAAATTCGGATGCGAATTTCACACTCAGTGTGCAAGGACCTTTATGGGGACTTTCCATAGACATAATGATTTTTATACTGTACAAACTGTATATTCTATCCCCTTACACTAACTCTACCCCTAAACCTACCAATCACAGATAACTTTCTGCATTGTTACATTTTCAAAAAACATCACTTAGTCTGATTTATTTGCTGTTTTTCTCATGGGGGCCAAAAAATATCCCCACACGGACAAGGATTTCGGATACATCTTTGTTGGGACATTTTGTCCTCATTATGTACGGTTTACCTGGAACACACACACACACACGCGTACGCACACACACACACACACACAGGCAGATTATCCTCCCACAACAGGGGCAATAATGAGAAGTGAGTGGAACGCTGTGTGCCTAATTACTGTCCTCAGTAATTAGCAATAAGCTGCCGATGTTTTCTTGACCAGGAGAACTGGGTGTGCACACGTAAGTGTATGTGTGGTATCTCCACACCATGGAAAACAGCAGATGTATTCACACGTCCTTGAGCAAATGAGAAAATGACCTGCTAATTTGTGTTAATGAATTTGTTTTTAAGCTATGAACTCATAACTAGGTCATCCTGAGTGGCACAATTGAACCACATCTCAGGTTGAAATTTCAGAGAAAGTCTTACAACAAAGAGATCCGGTTTTATCTTGATCTCCATGAATAGGGAATTTCGATACTGCATCAGGATGTGTGTGTGTGTGTGTGTGTGTGTGTGTGTGTGTGCATAGGACAGGATCTTCAGCTGTGGCGTATCTGTTCGCACTGACCCTAATGAACAACCCTTCTCCTCTCTCACACTCTCTCCTTCTTTCGCCACATGTCTGTAGTCTGTCGTCTCACGGAAGGGCCAATTAGGCTGGTGTGTGGGAAGAGGAAGCACATGACAGGGACAAAGCCAAACACTTTACTCTCAATTACTCTCCCTCAACAGGCACACACTGACTTCACTCACACACATCCTCAATCACTACACATACTGATGTAGCACCTGTGCATAAACATGTTCAACTACAGACTTCTGTGAGTCTAGGAGAATCAAAGTAACATGTTGAATATACCTGTAGCAACTCCAAATGTCTTTAAAAGTCTTACTTGTAACTTACTTATAACTTTTATTTATAATTCTTACTATTATTTTATAATCTCGCTTATTACTATATATATATTTTTTTTTTTTGATTTACACTATCATTCAATAGTTTAGGGTCAGAGTAAGATTTTTTTTTTCTTTGAGAGAGAGATAAATTAATTTTATTTAGCAAGGATGCATAAAATTGATCAATAGTGACAGTAAAGACATTTATAATGTTACAAAATATTTCTATTTCAAATAAATGATGTTCTTTTGAACGTTATATTCTTTAAAAAAGTATTCGTTTCCATATTAAGCAGCACAATGACAAATTAGAATGCTTTCTGAAGGATCACGTGACACTGAAGACTGGAGTAATGAGGATGAAAATTACAGAAATAAATTATTTTAAAATATATTAAAATAAAATAAAAAACTGTTGTTTTAAATTGTAATAATATATTACAATATTACAAAAAAAAAATGCAGACTTGGTTAGAATAAAATGCTTCTTTCAATAACATTAAAAAATCTTAAAGACCCCAATCTTTTTATTTGTAGCCTGTACAGTTTTTTGTGTGCGCCCATTTTCAAAATAATTGGTAATAAAAAGCAGCACAAAAGCTGGTGCTACTACACACTGCACCTTTAAATCTTCTGTGGTTGACAGTGTTGCTGCTGCATTGTGGGTGCTCACCATCATCATCCTCTGGCGGGCCGTCGTATGATTTGTCGATTGCTGCGCGGAAGCTCTCGTTGCAGCCACGCCCTCTGACCATGTGTGGGCGGGGCCTGTGGAAGGGCAGTAGCTCGTTCCTCTTGGCCTCTGTCATGGCAGTCTGCAGACTCTCTAGAGAGCTGGACTTCTTTAGGCCTAGCGTGGGTCCCAACTCCACGCCACCGCTCACTGAGACAAAACAAAGAGGAAAAATAAAAACACATATTATGACAATTCAACAGCCTGCCAAAAATGCCTTTTCATTCTTAACATCTTCTTCACAAATTTCTGCAATCAATGCAGGCCAAATTAAATATTTTCAGATCATTTTAGTGTGCCATTTCTGCGTCATGTAAATTTGATAATAATGAAATGTAAGAAAAGTTGAAAATCTCTCATTGAATCGATATTCCTGGCAAAAATAATAGTAGTTAAGCGAAACTGACAGCTTTTTTTTTTTTTTTTTTTTAAGGGTCAAGGTTACGGTATACTTACAAACATAGTAAATCGGGTACATTTTTGGAGGATTAAATGAGAGATTTGCAAATAAAGTGTTTTTATACAACTATAAACACTTAACTTATTTGTAAAAACATGTGCATTACTTCAGCTGTAAAGCTGGTTATTTTTATTTTATTATTTTATTTACAGCCGTTAAAGGGTTTTAGGTTTTATGGAGTTGTAAAACTAGATATAACTTCACAGACATAACCTTTGTGACATATATTTTACATCTTGTGGCTGTACTATTGAAAATTGTTGTGGTAATCAACATTTTGCCACACATGTTGTCAACTGAGCTTAACTTGTACTAAACCTGAAATATTCCTTTAACTTCCACTGAAAGTATGACATTTAAAATAGAAATGTCTGTGATGAAACCATTGTACTATTTGCATAGTACATTGCAACTGGTTTTCTTTTTTTGCATTTCTTTGCATACTACTTGCATAATTATTTCTGCAAAGGCATGACATGTGAACAGCAAAGCGCCTTTACATTTTTGCAAAACCAAACCTAGACTTACCTAAAGCTTTACGACTACATTTTGCTGCATAGCAATCACTGGTATTAGGAAACGTTAATAGTTCTTTGTGAAATGCTAGCTCATTTGTTTCTGTGATTTGATTGCTAATCAAAGATGGTGGGTCAATAGAGACTACTGGAGCGTTTCCCAAAGGCATTCTGGGAAGAAGACAAAGCAAAACGTTAATAATGTTTGAAGTGCCAAAGGTGGATCTTTATAAGACCGAGCATATATGTGAGTGTATGTGTGTTTGTGAGTGTATGTGATTGTAAACACTCTCTCTCCTCTAATGAAAATGACTTTTTAACATGCGTCTCCACAGGGAATGATGGATGAAGGCTCAACCCTGGGACTCGTTTCTCCATCAATCAGAAGCACCTTCTCTCTCTTCTATCTCCCTGCTTTCCAACTCTGCATACCTCCATCCTTCCTTTCGTCGACCCCACCCTTCTCGATACATCTCCTACACCCAGAATCATTAGCTAAAGCGCTGCAGCTCCTAGAATGCATTCATGAATCAGGAAATCATCGTATCGACAGGTGGTGCGCCTCACTGGAATTCCAATCAGCCTGGCCTGCTGCCGGCACCGGCCCCCTTTTTGTTTGGCTAATGGTCGTTTAAATGAAAGTGGAAGTGGGATCAGTCGTTTAATCTGTGTGGCCTCCAAACTGCCAGAGTAGGCCAGACGAGATGAGCCCAGCCCGGCCCAGCTGCATGCTTTCGGCTCTCAGGATTATGACACAGGAGAAATTTATGCACATTTAATTTGAGATGTGGTACAGAGAGAGAGAGAGAGAGAGAGAGAGAGAGAGAGAGAGAGAGAGAGAGAGAGAGAGAGAGAGAGAGAGAGAGAGAGAGAGAGATGAGGAATGGCATGCTTAGAGACAGGGAGGGCGGACGGAGATGAGGACACAGAAAGTCTCCATGTAACATTACAACAGATAACAAACTTCAAAGTTTGACAAGAAATTAAAGTCCATGAAAGGATTATATGTGGATATACATGTGACACGCTATCTATGGTATGGTATGTATGTATGGTATGTATGTATGGTATGTATGTATGGTATTGGTATGTATGGTAATGGTATGTATGGTAATGGTATGTATGGTAATGGTATATATGGTAATGGTAATGGTATGTATGGTAATGGTAATGGTATTTATGGTAATGGTATGTATGGTTATGGTAATGGTATGTATGGTAATGGTATGTATGTATGTATGGTAATGGTATGTATGTATGTATGGTAATGGTAATGGTATTTATGGTAATGGTATGTATGGTTATGGTAATGGTATGTATGGTAATGGTAATGGTATGTATGGTAATGGTATGTATGGTAATGGTATGTATGGTAATGGTATGTATGGTAATGGTAATGGTATGTATGGTAATGGTATGTATGGTAATGGTATGTATGGTAATGGTATGTATGGTAATGGTAAGTATGGTAATGGTAATGGTATGTATGGTAATGGTAATGGTATGTATGGTAATGGTATGTATAGTAATGGTATGTATGGTAATGGTATGTATGGTAATGGTAATGGTATGTATGGTAATGGTATGTATGGTAATGGCATGTATGGTAATGGTAATGGTATGTATGGTAATGGTAATGGTATGTATGGTAATGGTATGTATGGTAATGGTAATGGTATGTATGGTAATGGTAATGGTATGTATGGTAATGGTATGTATGGTAATGGTAATGGTATGTATGGTAATGGTATGTATGGTAATGGTATGTATGGTAATGGTATGTATGGTAATGGTATGTATGGTAATGGTAATGGTATGCATGGTAATGGTATGTATGGTAATGGTAAGTATGGTAATGGAAATGGTATGTTTGGTAATGGTAATGGTATGTATGGTAATGGTATGTATGGGTATGGTTATGGTAATGGTATGTATGGTAATGGTATGTATGGTAATGGTAATGGTATGTATGGTAATGGTAAGTACGGTAATGGTAATGGTATGTATGGTAATGGTATGTAAGGTAATGGTAAGTATGGTAATGGTAATGGTATGTATGGTAATGGTAATGGTATGTATGGTAATGGTATGTATGGTAATGGTAATGGTATGTATGGTAATGGTAAGTATGGTAATGGTATGTATGGTAATGGTAATGGTATGTATGGTAACGGTAATGGTATGTATGGTAATGGTATGTATGGTAATGATATGTATGGTAATGGTAATGGTATGTATGGTAATGGTAATGGTATGTATGGTAATGGTATGTATGGTAATGGTATGTATGGTAATGGTGTGTATGGTAATGGTATGTATGGTAATGGTAATGGTATGTATGGTAATGGTAAGTATGGTAATGGTAATGGTATGTATGGTAATGGTAATGGTATGTATGGTAATGGTAAGTATGGTAATGGTAATGGTATGTATGGTAATGGTAATGGTATGTATGGTAATGGTATGTATGGTAATGGTAATGGTATGTATGGTAATGGTAAGTATGGTAATGGTATGTATGGTAATGGTAATGGTATGTATGGTAATGGTAATGGTATGTATGGTAATGGTATGTATGGTAATGGTATGTATGGTAATGGTATGTATGGTAATGGTAATGGTATGTATGGTAATGGTAATGGTATGTATGGTAATGGTATGTATGGTAATGGTATGGTAATGGTAATGGTATGGTAATGGAATGGTAATGGTAATGGTAATGTATGGTAATGGTAATGTATGTATGGTAATGGTAATGGTATGTATGGTAATGGTAATGGTAATGTATGGTAATGGTAATGTAATGTACAGGTCAGACTGTGACATGTTACAGTATCAGAAATTAACAGTACCAGACCTACTTACTTGGTACATGTACATGGTCATGTATGTTACTGGTAATGGACCATGTATAGGTCATGGTACATGTACTGTACTGTACAGTATGTACCAGGTACCATGTCATACAAGTACAGGTACCTAGGTATGTACCATGACCATGTACATACATTACCAGTGACATACATTACCATTACCATTACATACATTACCATTACCTACATTAAGCCATAACAGGTACTATTACATGTCATACATGTACCATGTACCAGTTACAGTACATGACCAGTACCTACAGGTACCAGTACCATACATACCATTACATACATTACCATTACCATGACATCAGTTACCATTACCAGTACATACATTACCATTACATACAGTACCATTACATACATTACCATGACATCATTCCATTACCATTACCATACATTACCATTACCATTACATACAGTACCATTACATACATTACCATTACATACATTACCATGACCATTACATACATTACCATGACCATTACAGTACATTACCATTACACACATTACCATTACATACCAGTACCATGTACCAGTTACATACATTACCATTACATACATACCATTACATACAGTACCATTACATACATACCAGTACATAATTACCATTACATACATTACCATGACCATACAACATTACCATGTACATACATACCATTACCATACATACATGTACCATTACCATTACATACATTACCATTACCATACATACATTACCATTACATACCATTACCATTACCATTACCATACATTACCATTACCATTACATACATACCATTACCATACATACCATTACCAGTACATACATTACCATTACCATTACCATACAGTACCATACATCATTACCATTACCAGTCATACATACCATTACATACATACCATTACATTACATACAGTACCATTACCTACATTACCATACCATTACATACATACCATTACCATACATACATACCAGTACCATACATACATTACCATTACATACAGTACCATTACCATTACATCATACATTACCATTACATACATTACCATTACCATTACATACATTACCATACCTACTTACCATTACCTGACATACCATTACCAGTTACCAGTACATACATACCATTACCATACATACATACCATTACATACCATTACCATTACCATTACATACATACATTACCATTACATACATACCATACCTACATTACCATTACATACATTACCATACAGACATTACATACCATTACACATTACCATACATACATTACCATACATTACAGACATTACCATTACCAGTACATACATTACCATTACATA